ATGGTGCAATAACGTCTGACAGTTTTCCGATGGAGTCAATGCGAACGCGTTAGTAATTGTGTACTGCCCAAATAATTTCGTTGGTGAAAATAGAAGACAAATTATGCCTAATTGTAATTATACGCTTTCTTTTCTCTTCGCTCAACGTCATGGTCCTCATATATATTTATACACATATACACACACATTTCTAGGAGTAAAAGGCTTTTCTCGTCTTAATGCTATTTAATTAAATATTTTCTATGCACTTTGCCATTTTCATTCGTTACGCTTCCATTTCTAGCTGTGGAACTTAATGTCTGTGCCAGAACTATGTCTTACGTAATATCGCATAGAAGCCCTGCTCCTCGGCAACCAATAGAATGAAAGCCACCACTCACAGTGTATATTTACACGACGTCGATTTCTGCCGGTCTTAGTATCATTTGCTCGATAATCGTGTTACGATACGTCCGAACAAACCACGTCACATTGCAGAGACATCGAAGTATTCCGCATGTGTGTTTGTAGGAAATGGTTAGGAAATACTACGAAATTCGGAGGTGCAAATTAAAAATTCAATAATTCTGTTGATCGCTTTTGACAGACTTAAATCCTGCTGTCCGTGGATTGTCACCTATTATTAATCGCTTTTTATTGAGATCTTTGTTTTCTCTTTTTTTTTTAAATGTATTTATTAATTTAATAATTATTATACCTTTTTTCGAGTTTTCTTTTTTTTACTTTTTGCTTACTGTTTTAGAATTTTTAAAGATATGCTTTTGATCGATATTTAATTTCTTAACGTTGCATCATGTTTACCTCTTCAACTTGCAGAAAGTATGTCAAGTTTGTTATTAAAAGGTTTAGTCTTTCGAATTTAAAATGAAACTTTAATATTAAATTATTTATAAGAAAAGTATGTTTATTCTTATGTTTGATGCTGTATTATTAATTTCTAAATGCTGACCATTATTGATGTTATCAAAAACAGTCTTTTTATTATTTCTTCTTATTAATATTTATATGAAACTCATTTCCCTATTTAAATGTATTTGTTTTTCGCCTTATTATACTTCTTTCATCCCCACTTTTGAATATTGCTGGAAATAGGCAAGGGACAAGTGAAGGATTCGCCGATCTCGCCAGTCGACTGCTCGCGCACTTACGGATTCGTCCGGCCGACCCGGCAAAAAGTGCAGTGACCGTTATTTACGGTTATCTTCGCTCCGAGCAAGTAGGTTGGTCGTGCGCGTAAAGCGCGCACGCGATATGCCGCACGCGCTTCGCGAAAGACGAGGGGGATCGGACCGTCGACTCTTTTTGCGCCGTGAAATCGATTTTCCGTATCCCCCTGCCGCGAAAGAGAGCCGTGTGAAATCACGACCGCGTGAGAATCGTCACGCTGCACGCAACGAGCCGTCGATCCAAAGCGAAATGTAGGCCGGGCATTGATTATCTTAAGCAAATTCGAGAGGCACGATTGTTTGACCGTAAATGAAACTGAATGGGCGTGACGTTCGTTAAATTGATATATGAAATAATTAAAATCGCAGAAGAAACGTATACTGCGATGAGATAGGTAGATTTTACGCGACGTTTCACGAGGCGAAGAGTTTCGAAGAGAAATTAGCTATTATTTTATGTTTTGTATTTCTCAAATGTGAAGAGTTCATTATATACGTTATTTAATAGGAAATTATCGTGAACGCTTTGCTGAATAATTGCTAGATGGGAGTGTCTTCCTTGACTCGAAAACATAAATCTTTCTATTGCTTAAAATAAAAGACATTTTACGAATTTCTGAGTACTGAGCGTCTGTTCAATTTTATTTGATGATCGAGCGTCTGTTCAATTTTATTTGATGATCGTCCTTATGGAGATGATAGACTTTGACGTAAGTTTCGCCGTACGGCGCAATCATGTACGACGAATCCTCATCGCGACTTCCTGATGACGTCGCTCTCTCTGTGTACTTGTGCAATGGGTAAACTAAGATCTAATGGCTTCCAAGGGAGGCGGTTCTGCGCGGCATTGTAATCCGTAATGTAATCAGCGGATGGCGTTATAACGGACTGTTGCGTGTGTGAAACGAATCGGCAAATACCGTGCCGTGGAGCAGGGTTTTAGACCGAAAATCATCGCGAGACGGAAACGGAGAAATTTCAACGGTGTGTTGTTTCTTGGCACGGGGTTGCCATGCGGATCTGGAAAGTCGCGTGTGAATCGGGAAAATTGGAAATCACAGAGAAATATCAATTGGGAAAAGAAGGCGGGAAGAAAATCGTTGAAATTGCCTGAAGTTTCGCGATTTGTCATGGGAACATAATTTGATGAATCGTTTTCGCGAATAACGCGAGCCACCGCGCGTAGGAGTTTAAAGGAAAAAAATCTGCCTACCATTCCGAGCTATTCCGCCGGGTGCGGACAGCTTTATAATCGTGCTGACGCCGCGCGGGCATCGCGGCGGCGATTGTTTGCGTAAACTCGATGGGAGAGGATCACTCGAGGGCCCGATGCGCGCAAAACGCCTCGCGGCCGCACAAATATCGGCGGTCCGCGTCCGCCGTCATTATTTAATAAGCGTCAAGGCTGAATGCCGACCGCGTAAGTGCGCGACATTGCAGACGCTCCAGTCAAACGCTACTGTCCCTATGATTCACTCACGCTTCGCTGTCGTTTAAGGACTCGCTTTACAGTTCCCCTACGGTTCCACTTGGAACACACATGATTCTTTCTCTCGCACGCGACCCGCCGTTTTCTCTGACGATTACTATATGACGTGTGACATTTTGATGTGATAACGGAACACACTGCGTCATGTCTTGCCAAAAATTCAGGTTCCGCATTCATAACTAATATTTAAGAAAATCTATTTAATTATTCAGCTCTTTTTTTCGACAAAACTGACGGAAGATCTTTTAATTTTAATTATGATTCATTCTTTTTTCATTCGCATCTTGCGAGTTTAATTCGCAGAAACGTTTAATTTTTAATTCAAATAATTTTTTAATCAAGTTTATCACATTTTGCTACAAACTTAAGTAAATCGAATTTGTCGAGTTTAAGCCTGAAGAGATAACATTCTCATTCGCGAAAAAAAAACCGCATCGATGCCTTTATCGTCGTTTAATAATACTTATTCCTTTTTTTGCTATCAAACATTTTTATATGCCATTAGATATTTACCTAGTCTCCAATAATCCGTTGACATTTGTAAAGTTTCCCGGCAGGATAATTTCATGGTGGTGTAATCGGGGCAGGATCGCTTGATCGTGATTAATTCTTGATACACGGTGGCATATGAGCACGATGTATGCATGATCCGCGTACACGTGTGCTTCGGGAAAACGCGTCACCGAGTTTGTTTACATGTTCTACAACTCGTGTTACTCGTGCGGCAGCAGTTAATAGACATCCATCCTGTCGCTTAACGCGAATTACACCCACGTGCGACAGACGCAAAGAGTCTTTCTGGAATGTGCGCAGGTTCGTGTGTATTTATTGGTTTTCAGAAAAGTCTTTACGTGGAAACCATGGCGGAGGGATGAAAGCTGAAGCTATTACGATATCAGCTCGACTCGATCGTGTTTTATCATTTCTGACGTGCACTAGGGAAAAGATCTTGGTTACTTTGATTTTACGGTTGTTGTCGAAATGATGAACGAGTCATGAATTTAGACCAGTAAACGAAGGATAGGATTTTGCAATAGTTAAAAATTTAAATATAAAAATTATTAGACTCGATTCAATTTTTTATTGACGCAAATGTTTTTCAATATTTCCGTTCTGTGTATTTAATGTAAGCGCGTAGAAAATAATAAGAATGACGCTATTTAAAAAAAAATTAAGGCATAAACAAAGCTGTTTCAGTACGAATTTGGTTGTCACTCGATTGCCTTCTCTGAATCAATCATTTTCATACGAATATAGACTCATACTTTCGCACTTTCCGACAGGTATCCGTTCGGAACTAGAGCAATCAATATCACTTTGCGACTTGATGGTAGAAAGACATATGTCATGTACACGACATTAGTCAGTCCTCCTGCGGGCCTCGGGAAAGCATTGTATATTATATTTGACGTACGTGTCATACGTCCAAGAGTCCAAAAGTCTTTTTTAAGGGAATGATATTAGTCGTTTCATCGTTACATTTTACGCGAAAAACGAGACGAGAGGTTAAATTAATCGAGTAAGCAAACCCTTTTAGTTGAATACATTGTGTCCCAAGTCCGTTAGCAACGTATCACGCAACGATGATTAATACGATGTCCGAGATAATTAACGTCTAGTGCAGTTATGATAGCGCGATATTCCTGACAGGCGCGTCTAATCAACGCTCATAAAATAAACCGCAAGGGGAAACCCTTGTATGTAGGTCCGCCGTGCTGTAGCTCGGGCCATCGAACCTTTTCTCCGCTGCATTGCAGGCAAATTCGTGTATTAATGCGAGAAAGAAATTGTATTGATTTCTATATTAATTCTTCCGCGTATGCCAGTTGAGTATTTTAACAATCTTCTCTAATTCCAAAACGTTATGTAACGCTGGAGAAACGCAATGAATTATCGCAGGTGTTTTAAATATTTTATACTATATTTACGCACAAACGAATACAAGTAGAATGTACATGAATTATTAATGATTCTACATCGCATTTTAATCGCCTTCGTGCATCGACCATATAATTTCCCGGTCTTACACGTGGACTTAATGTGCACGTTAATTTCATAACGTTGCAGGATCAATACCTGCTTGTCAAGTACCACTGATCCTATTAAATTGAGTATCGAAACAAATAGATACGCTGCAGATTAACGCGAATTAGCACTTTGCCATTACATCGACGAAGCTTGTGTATCACGAAATCGTTAGAGTAACGAAATTTACGCGCAGTAATGTCTCTCTTTCTCTCTCTTCTTCTCTCTCATAAAAATAAATGATATAAATTAATGGAATTAAAATTATCTTTTTACTATAAAACAGATGAGGAACGATTTGACAAAATTAAGATTCAGAGTAAAGGTCACAATTTTTCCAGTGTCGGAATATTTAATACGTGTAAAATTTCAGTAAGTGAGTCACGTCATGCTGTCATTGCGGAAGCGTAATATCGATGCGTTTACATGCAACTTTTGTAAAAGGAAACGCGCTAAGTTGCCCAACGGATCTTCTTGCGGCTCATTGTAGCTCCTGATACTTATAACGCGCGATTGCGTAATAATGATTCATTCGATGACACCATGCGATGTCCTCGAAATAAAGCGTCCCTCATGAAGAACCATCATTTGCGTTATGGTAAACACACTTGTCGTGCAGTTGCGAAATGTGCCGTTCTTTTAAACCGGACGGAGAGGATTTGTCGCTCCATCAGTCAGGCTGATAACGTAATGACGCTTCCGTTGTTGCTTTAAATGTATTCAATGAGTACCTGCCCTGTCGTGAAAGGTTTCGTTGTAAGTTTCATACGCGTTTATTCGTCAGAACAAATATTTTGACTAAGAGGTATGATTTATCGCTTTATTTTCAATCGGATAAAAAAATATAATCCTGTTTGTACAATGATGTGTTAATTATAATTAATCCCGTAAAGAGATTATCGAAATATGAAATGTCACGCACGTAACGTAATGTGATAACTGTCGCATCTTTCTTATTCGCTCCCTTCACTCGAAACGTTCTGGACGTAATTATAAATGTTAATTATTTAAAGCTGCGATACATGACGAGTAGGGATTAATAGCGTCACAATGCAATTATAAATTAATATCTGTTGTAAAATTCTTCGCGGTTAGTGTTGTTATTTCAAACATTTAATATGCGGTTGTAAATCTATCTGCACGTTATCCGACGCTGAAATGTACAATTAACAAAGGACCTTTCATCCGAGGATCCCTTTGAGTCACGCGAGGGACTTTGTTATGGAGCAGCAAGTTATAATTGGGTCACCTTGAGCACCTGTCATCAGCCACTTAATCCTCAAATGCAAGGGAAAACGGGTTAGTGTAGAAAGTGCCGAAGGAAAATGGGTTACTGTAGAAACAATGTAACGACGTATTCAATTGAAAGCACAATAAAACATATTTTATCGATTCTCCTCTTTGCGTTTGAAAAATGGAAAATGTAAGAATACACCATGCTGTTTTCAAATTATGATTACAATTAATGATTAATTAATTAAAGAAGCAACACACAATATTTATTTAAAGTTTCATTCATAAAATATTTGATATTTATTGATAATTTAATTTAGAATCGATAATTTCTCACTAATTGCTCTAATATACCTATGTAATAAATGGCGTTACATTTCTAAATGTTGACATCACGAGTATATACACCTTACAGAAAAAAAGGTAGTGTTGCAAAAGAGTGTGACTCATTAAAATCACTCAAATAATTATATGACGGATTTCACTTTTTTCCAACTGTCGGCCTTCGAATGGAAATATACGCGATCTAAGCTTACGCTAGCCTCGGGACAATTTGCGCTCATAATGCGCATTTATAATGCTCCGTCATCTTTTGTGGGTGTGTAACTTTGGTTTTTTTCTTGTCTTTGAAAAGATAGTGACGTTCATAGGCAGTGTAACACTATTGTGTAACGCGTGGGGCATAGGTGAATTCTTTGTGCAAAAATTATTTTCTTCAAGCGTGACAATCGGAAATGGAGTGTCTCAGATATGTTCAACGTCAACGGTCTAATAATGATTAAACTCTGTAATTTTATTAAATTTTTTCTAGTGATTTCTGGATACAAAAAATATCCATAAAGTTGTAGAATATTTTGTATGACAAGATTAAATCAACAAGTGTCAAGATATAATTATTTACTCTAAAATAATTTATTTTTTTTAAATATGTAATATATTTATAGGAGGAAATACAAAAATATATGAGAGAAAAATTTGAACTGATGGTAGAATTTTTAGAAAGATAAACTCTCAATGTATTTATATTACTGAAAAGCAAAATTTTTAAACATAAAACATGCATCTTTAAATTTAATTAAAATATATTGAATATTTCTTCCTCTTTGTTTACAGAACAAAAGTACAAATTTTCTGGATAAATTTATTTTTTGACAATGCACCTTATTACAACTACAAAACAATACAGAAATAACTGATATTTTCCTCAATATTTTGTTTAACGAATTATCGGTCAGTTTTGCAAGGGTGTCGTTTGCCTTTTAATTCGTTCAAGCGATATTTTCATTGAGAGTAGTTGCATTAGGAGACATTAACACCGGAGATTGATGACACCGAATGACCTCTTTTCTTGTGCTCTCGTTGCAGGGGTGTTGGAGATGGCGGCCACCGAGAGTACGATCCGATTTAGCGGCCACACGTTGGACAAGGCGACCAAGGCCAAGGTGAGTTCGGATTTAGTTTCAACTTGATTATTCCATTAAGATAGTGGCTATTCTGCCCTCTATACTGCATTTGTCAATTCACTCGGAATAGATGATTCAATGTACAGAATATATCAGACATAGATACGATAAAAGTTTGATAATTAGAAACTTGTGTCATTATCTCTATTTGATATTAAGTGAAGATAAAACTTTATTATCTCTTTGAATCAATGAATTTTCCAATTTGTCGAGATTCTTTCATTTTAATATTAAATAACACTGTAAACACGCATCTGAGTATCTTGAATTTTTGATGAGGTAGGGTAGGTACGTAAACCGATTAAACTTTCTTACCAACTTTCGCAGTTTGACGCGACGGAACTTGTATAACAAACACATTGCATAATATAGTGATCGAACTATGTAATAATACAACTCTCATATCTTAATGAATTTAATCTGATCGGACCTGCCGTATCAAATCGGCTAAACAAACGGTAGGGGAGAGAAATCGGCACATAGAAGAATTATTACATCATATAACTGATAATTTGATCGCGTTCTCAATCGTCATTACTCGACGAGGAACCTCGAGTGTCCAGGTACATTTGCGTGAGCAAGAAATGTGGGTCAACACCGGAACAATTTTAACCGGCTGTAGAGGCGATGTCGACGAACCGTGTTGCTAATTAATGGTCACCGTTTTAACAAAGATATGAGCATTGCAATAATCTATATACTCCCGTGTGGTTGGATTTAATCCATCGGTCGCCATTCAGGATTACAGTTAATAATATAATGAATTTGCAATTCCGTCTGTTCACTATTACGAATAAAATTATAAATAACGGTATGTACGATAATTTTCATTTACGATCCTTCTGTAAATTTCGTAAAATATGAGACTTTGTGAGAAACGTGTATTTATATATCTCACGAAAGACATCTCGGTTAGTATAAATAAATGTACATATATATATCTAAATGCTATATTGTGTAAGAAAAAGTATATTCAATTATTAGAAAACGCCCTCTCTTGTTAATTTAATTAGCATTGAAAGTATATTAAGCCTAAATGAAATGTTGATTGCGAATTATTATTTGCAACTAATCACGTTGCATTGCTCATCGAATTGCGAAAATTTCCGCTTAATTTGAAACGCTTCTTGCTTAATAACCACGTATACTTTCCTGAGAAAATAAATTACAGAAAGTTAGCCAATTCTTCCCACTAATTACTGTGTAACGCTAATTATTACGCGATTACTCAACGAGCGTTGCCGACGATGCTCGATAATTTCGTTAAAAACCATTGTTGACCGTTGCAAAAAAGTTGCCCGTGTCAGCGTGTCTGCGCGAGCTTTTCGAATGAAGAGGGTTGCTACAAGTTTGGAGAACTGTGAAAATCCGAAAAAGTTGGGAGAATTAGAAACGGAGGAAATTGCAAAAAACCTCCGGAATTTGGCGTTTTCGCTGAGCGACCATGAATTACGTAATTAACGGTATTTATTAATGCTCGTATTTATTGTATATTTATAGAAGATTAAATATTGTTGCACAATAAAAGATGTCGAGCCTTCTTTTATTTTCGTTTTGTTTTTTACTTCGTGTTTTACGTCCGCTTTTCTTGAAACATAAATTTTAATTTGCATCATAATCTCAAATATTTTCGCTAACGGAAGACGGAAATGTAATTAAAACAGAAAACTTCCATCTGCAGTTGTAATTTCAATTTAGAAAGGTGGCAGTTTCTCTAGTGGGAAAATACGAGAATTTTTCAGTTTACCCTCTACGCGTCTCTACGCGAAACTGTGTCCCAGCGAAAAGTAACGCTCCCGAAACGTCTCGCGACATCGAGTGCGAACCTGATCTCGGTGAGCATAATAATCGCGCCAGCCGTGGTAACCGCGCGCGACCAGCGGAAGTGGTTTTGTGTCGTACGCGAGATAAAGCGTTATCGATCGCATTACGTCGAGCTCTCGAGCGACGACATTTGCAGGAAGAGGAGGATCAAGCCTGATGTATATGTATATATATGTATATATATGTATATATATATATATATAAAATGATAATCGGAGCATCGCGTTTTGCCTTTTGCAGGTAACGCTGGAGAACTATTATAGCAATCTGATAGCGCAGCACATCGAGCGGAAGCAGAGGCTGGCGAAGCTCGAGGAGTCCCTCAAGGATGAGGGCCTCTCGGAGCAGCAGAAGCAGGAGAAGAGGCTGCAGCATGCCCAGAAGGAGACCGAGTTCCTCCGGCTGAAGCGATCCAGGCTCGGCGTCGAGGACTTCGAACCTCTCAAGGTCATCGGCAGAGGAGCGTTCGGCGAGGTAAGGAAGAATCGACTGCGATAGGATCTGATGTATGACCGCTAATGAGCGAGCGAATTACAATAGTCAGATGTCGGTCTAATTGCGCTAGATTGCCGCGACTTTATATATGAAATCGTAAAGCGAAGCTTCTTCTGCGTTGTAATGAGAACGAAGAGTCGCGATGTCGTGATTGACGTACAATAGTTACGTAATTTGAAAGAAACACGGAAAAAAACTTTAATGGTAACGTGATTAATCTTTTCAAGAACGAATCTTAAAGTAGAATCGTGCCTTCTTACATGCGTCTTTATATTTTGCCTTTAGTTTTAGTTTTTTTTTTATTTTGATATTTGCAAGTATAATTTTGTTGCGACACACAGCTGTCTAAATTTCGTAAATATAAGTGTTAAGTAATAAATATATTATCGAACATCGTCATTTTATCGAGGAATGTAAATTTCTTATAAAACATTCGCTTCATTTAAATGACATCTTAAATGACACACTTAGTCCGTATGTGTAAATTATTCGTAATTTATGCAGGCGATTTGACCACATTAAAGACGAAGATTGACTTCTTCTGCTTGTGATTGCAATAATTACGATAATAACGGAAATACACGAGAGGCTCTCTCAGGCCGGTAGTCACATCTAGGAGAGAGCGAAATTTTCTCATTACTTCTCAGAAGAAGTAGCATTTCGCCTCGCTTCGCGGAGCAAGTGGAATCCCTTTCGTAAAATTCGAGATTAGACGGGAGAACGCTTTTAATCGCTCGCGACGGAAGTCCGCCGGCATTTTCACTCAAAACGCGCTGTTCTGGAACGAAAAAAAAAAAAAATTGCGCAGGTGAGACTCGTGCAGAAGAAGGACACCGGACACGTGTACGCGATGAAGATCCTCCGGAAGGCGGACATGCTCGAGAAGGAGCAAGTTGCGCACGTCAGAGCGGAGAGGGACGTCCTCGTGGAAGCGGACCATCAGTGGGTCGTGAAGATGTACTACAGTTTCCAGGATCCTATAAATCTCTATCTAATAATGGAATTTCTTCCCGGCGGTAAGTCCCGCTATCGATCGCTCGCGACAAAGCTGAAAACGGAAGCGCTATTCCTGGGCAATTCGTAAATAATTCGAACGGCATGAATTACAGGTGACATGATGACGCTGCTTATGAAGAAGGACACGCTTTCCGAGGAGTGCACGCAATTTTATATTTCCGAAACGGCGTTAGCGATCGACTCCATACACAAATTAGGTTTTATTCATAGGTACGTTCGTCGTGGTCTTGTCAATTCGTCTTGGAAATAATTAGGTTAAATGAAATTTGTTTTTTTTTAATGCATAATTTAATTACGTTACAAGTCATTGATTTCAATCTTTTAAAGGTGTTCTAAATATATTTGCGAATGTCTCTTTTGTGCGTGAAGTTAGTACACCAACATTAAAATTCCATAGTTTTGATTAGAGTTTCCGTTTTATTTTGAAGAAACGAAGAGTTTCCTATAGTTTATAATAAGAGTTCTACTTAATAACAATTAAATTTTGATAAGAAGTACCTCATTTAGTACCTCATTTTTTAAATTTAATTGAAAAATTGTTATTAAGCAAAACTCTTTTTATAAACTATAGGGAACTGTTTGTCTCTTCAAATTTGAATTCTAATCAGAACTATGGAATTTTAATTTTGAGATGCTTACTTTTACACACGCCTCTTTTGTGTGAAAATTTTTAAATTAAATTCTTGTCCCTCTAGTAATCAAGAGTTTAAAATTTTTAAGTTACTTAATCTTATCTATATTTAAATATATAATTTTTATACGTCGTATGTATAAACAATAAACTATTACTTATATTAGTTCAATTCTATTTTGCAGAGACATCAAGCCAGACAACCTGTTGCTGGATGCACGGGGCCACATAAAACTTTCTGATTTCGGGCTGTGCACGGGTTTGAAGAAATCACATAGGACCGATTTCTACCGAGACCTGAGTCAAGCGAAACCTTCCGATTTCAGTAAGTATTAATGCGACGTTCTCGCATGCGTCAAAGAGAAATATTTACGCTGATTTATGATTTAACCGATGCCTCGTCAATTTTTCACGCAGTGACATCATGCGGGAGTGGAAGCGGCGGCGCGATGGACAGCAAAAGAAGAGCCGAGAGCTGGAAGAGGAACAGGAGAGCGCTGGCTTACAGCACGGTGGGCACTCCAGACTACATCGCGCCGGAAGTGTTCCTGCAAACAGGTTACGGACCGGCTTGCGATTGTTGGTCCCTGGGAGTAATTATGTACGAGATGCTTATAGGTATGATACCTTGCGTATTTTTCTTTTTGAATTTATTTTTCATTAATAAATTATTTAAAAAATAATATACACAATTATTGAGATCTATTTTATTCTGAGATCTATTGGTATGTTCATATTATCGATTCAATTATCATTATTGATTATAAGAGAATTGTAACGGATGAGCATTAAAATAATAAAAGTTTGAAAAATTATTCTTTGCTAATAACATAATTGTATGTATTTTAGGATATCCACCATTCTGTAGTGAAAACCCACAGGAGACGTATAGAAAAGTAATGAACTGGCGAGAAACGTTGGTGTTCCCGCCGGAAGTTCCCATTAGCGAAGAGGCTAAAGATACCATTATCAGATTTTGCTGCGAAGCCGATAGAAGATTAGGTAAATTTCTCTGAATTTTTATCTCGAAGTTATTAAGACAAAAATAATCTCTCGCGGCGATAATCTAATTGTGAAACTAATCTTCCGCAGGGGCGCAAAGAGGCATCGAAGAGCTCAAGTTAGCACCCTTCTTCCGCGGTGTTGATTGGGAGCACATCAGGGAGAGACCAGCCGCTATACCGGTCGAAGTGCGATCCATCGACGACACGTCGAACTTCGACGAGTTTCCCGACGTGAAATTAGAGATACGTACGTGTATATTTTTTCCTTTTTATCATTGCATCCAATGGTGTCTAGCACACACACTTTATTCCCTCGTTTTGCCTTATTACAGCGTCCGCGCCGATGCCCCAGGACGGTGAGGTAATATACAAGGACTGGGTATTTATTAATTACACCTTCAAGCGCTTCGAGGGTCTGACACAACGGGGCACACCGACCAAGAAATAGCAACCCGTCACTTCCTGCTCGATCAACAGCGCCGTCGCCAATCAGCAGCCAGCTGACGTGATCGAAATTCCGGCCTTGGTACATCATCCTCATCCGCCGTCGTCGACGGCAATGGTGTCGCGCACGGCGGACGGCTGACCTGTCTCGCTTTTGGGCGCGGTTCAAGTATCGGACACGAATCTTATCATTCTTATTTGTATATAACGTGATGAGCACGGATTGTCGTGAATACGCGCGGCGGATCAATCACGGATATCGCGACTTGTCGCGCGCGGCGACGAGCTCGGTCAGCCGGGCGGACAGGCGGACGGATATGGGAGAGTATATATAGCGATAAAGGTGCACAATACACGAATATCGCACGCCTCGGCGCGTGCGCCGATATATCGCGCGATAAGGCGATGCGAGCGAAGTCTTTCGTTGTGTGACTCACGGTGATCCTCGCAAATATCCCCGTCGAGAAGCATTACTCCTTTACTCTTGTCGTGCCGCGGAGGAGGCGCATTTGTGCGAAGTGTAGCATAATAAGCTCTCTGTGGTAATGGTATTAAACGGAAACGATCGGAGGGAGCCCCCGGTTCCCGTGTTCCTCACGTACTTTCTTTATTTATCTACGTCGACGCGCGCGTATCGATGAAATTTTATTGTGTGAAATACAATTTGTCGAGCTCGACTAAGCTCTCGAATCGAGCTCTCTTTTTCTCTCTGTTTGAACGTTGTATTTATAATTAACTCTCTGTGATATACGAAGTTGTTGAAAATATCTGCTACCTTCGGACCTTTTTGTCTGTTAGCGGATGCTACGCTTTTATTGATGTTGTATATATGTGATTAATCATATTTCGTCTTGAAAATTTAAAAGTTGTTGCGATGAAATTTTATAATATTATGTGTTTTTGCGCTACTTTTGAGAGCTTAGATTCGTGCACGAAATTAGGTAAATTATTGACAGAATTAACGACACGCGCGTGAGTCTTTTCACATAAAAAGAAATCCTGATTATATTTTACAATGTTTTATCATTACATGATCAACATTATGTAATGGTACACTTTCGGTACCGGGGGGTCTCCCTCTTTCTCTATCTCTCTTTCTCTTGTAAGGCAATAATAAACATTTAGCCGTGTCTGAATACACGAATAAAGAATGTGCTAGGCTTTAAAAGATATCGTAAAAAGACGTAAGAAGGGAGAAAGAAAGATTACACGTGTAAGATTCAGGGCTCCTTCGTTGCCTTATTAAGGTTCCTAACAGACAGCCCGACAAATCCGTACGTTTAAACGAAAGAGATGAGCCAGACATGCCACTTCTTCGATGGAAAATGGAATAAAAAAAAAACGGCGGTGTGTCGCGACGATGTGTAGAACAATCGCACACACGCCCGTGTATTTTAACACTCGATAGAACCGGATACCTTTTCTTTCGATCGCACTGTGAACAATTTTACGATTTACATTTCGTAGTTTTGCTGACAGCCAGGGCACCTTGGTAATAAAATAGCGTAATAACGATAAAGACTAGATAACATTTAAGATAACAACATACATACACACAGAAGTACCTATACGTTTAAACAAGGGAAATGCACGCGTGCGTGTTCGAAACGTAATTGCGTTTTGGATAATATAGTACATGTATAAAAAAAAAAAAACAATTTTCTCAACGCTCCTTCCACGTAACGTTCCGGCGTGTCTCCACTTAATAATTACGCAACCACGCTGTACTGTACATTCGACGAAGAAATTAGTTTCGTACGACTACTCCGCCTGCGTATGTATCTTAACGCCGTTTTACTGAAGTCTCCAAGGTAGTTTAAATGAAGCAGAGAGCGCCTAGATTACGGTGTTACTACCAGTTAAGCCAGTAATTTAAACGAAGAGAAAAAAAAAAGAAGAAAATCACCCGCGAATGAAGCTAGTAGAAAAAAAAGAAGAAAGGTGAAAACTATTTTCTGCACTATGCTATAGGAGTTAAATCGACGATAACGAGTGTAACGTAAGTGGGAAAGTTAGGGAGCTACGGAATACTTTTAGTCTCCTCCTCTTGTCGCCATTGAGTACAGATGCTCTGACGTCCATGCTAACTAAGTAAAGAAAAGAAGAAAAAAACGAAGTGATCGCAATTTATTTATTTAACGAGAAAGTCTAAATAAATGATACAACAATAGCCACGAGATGCCTTCGACGCAACAAGTTTCGGTGCCCTGGAACAGTGCATATATATAAATATAATAAGTATATATGTAAAAAAAGTATATATATACATAGAAATACCTTTTAGCGAAGCGAGAAGGGATGTGTAATATGCGCTAAATTTAGGTGTTGAATTATAGGTGTGCTCTGAATTTCTGAAGTCAGGTGGGTGTATACATTTTTTTTCTCTTTTTTTTCCGAAAAGCGAGAGAGAGGGAAACGAGCGTATTATAATATAGCGGGGTGGTGACGAGATGTATGTACGCACGTATCGAGCTACTACACATTTGATGTAAAACGTAATTTTGAGGACACGTGAGAGAGAGAGAAATCTCTTAAGGTAGACTTAAAGATTGAAATTGATTGTCGATGTACACTGTAAATACTGACGAGGCAACTAAATATTATTAAGAGCAAGGCAGTTTGAACTCCGGTGTTTAATTGGTTACCGCCGTACTGCCATCCTCGACTTTTTATTATTGTATATCGCGCATGATGAAAATCGCATTACGGGTGTGTTAAACGTACGGTATATCATCCAATCTCACGTTTTTGCTCGTGTTTACGCTAGTGTTCTTATCATTGTACGAATACTGATTAGTTTGTTAATTTTACGGTTAATTTAAATGAAAGAAACCGCGATAGATCTCTCCTAGCTAATTCGTAACTAATTAGGTGTTAAGTTACTTTTTTTTCCTTCGGCAAGGAGCCTCTTTTATTTTTTTTTCTTTCTTTTTTTTCTCGTCGAATAGGAATCGCTTCCGATGACGCTCTCGATGATTACAACGTCCGGAGGTTTCGCTTCCTACCATTCGCGTCTTCTGTCTCTCTTGTCGTAGCTCATCTTTTCGTGTCCGATCATGTGATTCCTTTCTGTCGCGATTCGTAGAATTCTCGGATTATGTAATATCATGCATATACGATTAATCACACGCACACGCATGTATATCGACCGCATACAACAAGGCGGAACAATTATATGCGTTCAAATATCAAGACGAACCGTTTTTTCGGTTATTTAATCGATAGACTTTTCAGGCCTGGATGAGTAATGTTTTAAATACTATGATCTACAGTTGAAAACTGTGCGTAAGATTATTTTAGAAAGACTTTTCTAAAAGCATATCCGAAAAAAAAACACAAAAATTTTTTCACAAAAATAAAGCGTCAGCTTTTCCCACTGAAAAATAAATAATTGGATATCAACATAAAGTCTATAAAAATCATGAATAGAGCAAAAATAATACAGAGGCTCATTCTTTTAAAGACTAAATAGGATTGGTTAAGACTCAATTCTTTTATTGTTTACTTCTGTTTTTGGAAAATTAAATTTTTTTTGCACAAAACGAAATTTGATAGACGCACTAATCTGAAGCAGGTAAGTGTAAATTTCGAAACAAATCGGCGATGTGGAAATATTAATGCGTATTTCTAAATTGATTATATATTTCGTTTCATATGTGCAGTCTAAACAAACAAATGATAAAAATGCAAATGACCTAGTTTACCCCGTTTTTATTAAAATTAGACCGCGAGCGATGGCTCAATTATTTTAAAGCGAGCGCTTAAAGATTAATGTTGCCGATCGATTGATATATGGTGATGCCACTTCTCGGATGAGTTATTTATCATGGAATCTATTGCATCCTGCATATTACTCATCCAGGATTAAGGGGGAATCGTGTCGCGCGCGATAATCTCTCGATTGCCCCGTGAGCGAAATAACGATTTGCGCAAAGTGCTCTTGAATGAATATTTCGTTGCACTTATCATTTTACAACGCGCACGGTCTAGAACTGCGGACGGAGGCGTAACGAAGCTTAAGAAGAAAGTGTTCTCACACTTGAAGTATTGTGAATGAATAATACAATTATAATAGAGAACGTTTAAAAGAGAAGAAAATTCGAAAAGTTTTACAACTTGAATATATATAATTCGCACGAAATTATTTATTATAAATATCAAGTATTAAATAGCTGCTGCATTTATTTGGATTACAATGACTATAGATAAAATTAGAGGAAGCATTAGAACTATATTAGATATAGGTTGTGTCTAATATAAAAGTTTGACGATTAAAAAACATTGTAGTATCTTGTGCAGAATTTTATCTTTTCCTTACACTTCGTTCTATTGTCTCACGTTTCGTTATGTCTCGCCGCATTCTACGCAAATCATTAAGGTCGTGTGTGAGTCCCGACACGCAATAACCGAGGAACCGAAATAATATCAGCACATTTTTTTTCTCGAGAATAACGGAAACGAATACGTGTGTTACGACAATCGTGTGAACCAAACAAAATCCTTATTCAGGGGCGAGGGAGGAGGGGATACGAGTGTTATCTGTCACTGTAATTGCGCGAATGTTCTCCGTATCAGCGCGACTTAATTCATTTCGTTTTGTACAGTGATTTAGTAAGCCGGACTTAGCATAGCGTTACTAGATAGAAGTTCTTCATTAATCCCGTTTAAGCGTAGTAGTGATAGTAAACTCTTAGACACGGCCAGTCCCGCGCGTCGTAAGTCTACGGTGACTAGATACACATCGTCGTAGTACAAAGCGAGTGCAATGATGCTGCAGTATTTATCTTGAATTCCTAAATATTCCTATTTAACATAAAAAAGATACAGATATAGTCCTAGCTTCTGAGAAAATGTTTTGGGAGCTCGTACGTATGTCTTGGATATGATATTTCATTTATTAATGATTAATTCTTAAAAATATCAAGCGCTTATTTGCTCTTTGTAAAAAGCACTCAGAAATTAGACTGTTAGACGTTCTTCGATAAAATGAAAAAAATATCTGGTAGATTTTTATTAATTATTAATAACAATTTATTATTATTAATTTATATTATTAATTATATATTATTAATTTGTAAATAATCAAATATTGAGAAGAAACAAGTTTTTCTTTAATATTTAATATTTATCAAGTACAAATTTATTTAGATTTGATAATCTAAAAAGATAACTTTTTAATTATTACGCTATAAATTATTTTCTTAAATTATATGTTGTATTATTTCTTCTTTAGTAAACTTCAGGAGTCTATTTTTCGATTTGGACATATTAAAGGCACAAAGACGAACGCATTATTGCACTCGATTGTACGAGGATAGATTTCATCGAATAAATTTAAACAACGCGATGTCCAGTTGTTTCGTTGTATGTGACATTTGTCATATAAGATTCGCCGTTATTTAAAAACAATTACACGCAAATCGGCTAATTCGTTTCGGGGACGGAGAGGCAAGACCAGAACACGAATCACACACGCGGACGCACGACGGACGAGGTACAATCGAGTGCGGATATTTTATAGTAGGCTTGTGATTAAAGTGAGGAATTATTGTCGAATGGTCCGAGATAAAATAAAAAACGATGTATAAAAAAAGAGAGATATTGCTTTCCACACGCAGAATATACTATTGTAATTATGTCGTTAATAAATTGTTTTTTATTTTAACTCTCGCAAGCGGTTCGTACGTGTTCCCTGCATGCGGCATTCTAATTATGATTTCTGATTTTCAGCATGAAGTTCCATTGGCGTGCAAGCCGGAAAGAATTTGCAGAGTATGGTAATTGTTTCAGTAATATATACATATAACGTAATGACTATAAAATTAAATTAATAGCAAATTTGTCGCAAATTGAAGAAAATAATTTTTAACTCAGTAACGAGGACAAGTTTCATCAGATTTTAAGACAAAATTTTGGATAAATTATTACCTTTGTATTGCATAGTATAGTTTAATTAAACTAACATTAAATTAAATTGCGACATTAAACGATATAAAACTAAAACATATTTGATGCATTAATTTAATTGTACTTTAGATATATATTTTTTTTGTTTTTTAACATATTGTATTACAAATTAAAATTGTTGATTTTTAAAGATTTCATAAAATTTTGAAAAGATTTTTATATTTCTATCAAAATAATAAATGCATTTAAATTGCTTTATCTGAATTTAAAAAATCTCAATAAAATTCATTACTTCAAAAAGGTATACAAAGGCATATAAAGAATATAAATGCTTATTTGACGGAAATTGAAATGAAAGAAATTTAATAATTTTAATTTGTATGTTTTTGATTCAAACAAGTTATCAACTTGAAGTACTTTTAAAATGTTATTTTTTGAGATTTCGCAAGATTAAATTACATACGAAGGAATTTTTAAATACATCTCTTTTTGAAATGTGTTAATTTAATTATAATTTATCAATTTTACTCGGTGGATAAAACCTTACATGTATATATATTATAATCGGCAACTTATGTTACAAAAAATTAATAATTTTCTGTTAATTTAATTTATTTTAAAGCGTCAAAGTTGTATTCCAATTAAATTCTTTTTTTTAGTATTATTATTTACAGCAAAGATATATGTGCAACATGCAACACCGCTTCTACAGTGATGGTAATTGTACCTCCGTCCGCTACTGACCTCTTCAATCCAGTTCTGGCCTCCAGTTCACCGCATTTCACCGAGATGATGGCGTTAGTTGGTCGGATTTGACTGGTTCGAAAGTAATTATTTTTTAATTATTAGTTTTTTATGTATAAACTTTTGCAATGACGAACAATTGAGTTTATTATTAATTAACTATAAGTTTCAGTTCTTATTATATAATTTCTTATTTTAATTTAATTACATAGTTTATAACAGTATTCAGTACTCCGTTATACTTGAATTTTTAATGAAAGAAATCATTTTTCAATCTTTCGTGAAAAATAATTAAAATTTCAATTATTGAATAAGTCAATTATTTTATAAGAAATTTCTAGGAAATTCTTATTTTAATTATCCTGTAATTATCATAATTTATTTTTACTAATATACATGTATTTAATTATATTTTATCATTTTTGCCCAAATATCTCGGTTAATTAAATTAAAGGAAGTTATCTGTTAAATAAGAATTTCTTCATGTTAACAATATGATTAAGTATATTAAAAAGAAAGCAAATATTATCACGTATGTGATTTTTAATTAATTTTAAAATAATACCGTAAAAATATAGGTAAACATGAAAATACGCTACATAAAAATTATATAAAAATATACACAACACGAACAATACGAACGCGACATTTTCCGCTTTACACGCAAGATTTTGAAGAAATTCATTAGTTCTTCTCACTGAAAAAATTAGTTCTAAATTATGCAAGTTTTGAATTAGAAAACATTTTTGGAGACTCTTTTCGCATAAAATGTACGACCGCGCTATCTTCTTCTGCATTTAGAATCGCGCTAACTACGAGCTACAAATTTCGTGTTTGACGACGAGAGAAGCGTTGCCTCGAAGAGAAACCCCACATCTCGGAGTAGGCGACACGTACAAATCGTACGATTATACGAGTCGTGACACGGCGCGCGCCGGCGGTTGACTCTTGAGAAAATGCGATTGGATTGATCCCGGTGATGTATCACCGTCCATTTCCGCGTGCGTTTCCTTTCTCTCGCCTCGCCACGCGAACCGGGAGCGAATTCTCTCTGCGACCGCAGGAAATTTGCATGTATTGCGTTCATAGTTACATCTATCTTTCTCCAGAAGACTAACGCGCCTACAAATTACGTTTGACAAATGTAACACGTTGGCTTGATCATTTCTCGTGCGAAATATTTCTACAAAAATCAGTTTTTCAAGGAAAAGTCACGAAATGCCAAAAATTAACACGAATTAATATTTGGACAGAAGGCTCGATTTTTTTTAATACGTATAATAATTATATTTCGATAAAAGGAAATTGCTTATTAGATAAAGGCTCTAAATTCGTTTTATCTATTTCAAGCGATTTTTCGCCTTTTCGTAACGTCTACTTTTATGTTTGAAATGTTTAAATTATATCTGCTATCTATGTAGGTTTATGTAGAACTCAGGTTCCCCGGAAACTCCATAATGCAATTACAACTGCATTAACAATTTATCTAACACGGAGAGCGCGTTCCATGTATTATCGTGGAGCCGAGACTCGCGTATAGTCGCAGCCAGTGCACTTAAATGCGATTGTATATAGTTATCGGTTTCTCGCGCGGCAACGCGCGGAGGAAATCTTCATACCGAGCAGATAAAATTGTTAATCCGACAGGATGCGTTTAGCGCCAGATGCGGCGCTAGCTAGATAGCGGGAGGACGGCGCGGCCGGTGGGGCCGTCCTCTTATCGGACAGCTGCAATCGGCGGCGAGCGAACGTGACAGTTCCGGAACGGAGCCGTCAATAATCAGTCAAATCCGCGATTCAAGCGATGGAAACTTTGAACTTCCTGGAAGCGGGTCTTCGGAATGAGTCCTCGGCGTTCCCGTTTCCGTCGCAAAGAATATTCCGGTACCTTCGGCAAATCGTATGCAAACTCGATTACGTCGATCTCCCTCCCTCTCTCTCTCTCTCTCTTTCTCTTTGAAAATCGCGAGGTTCGACGGGATACGCCCGACAGCAATGAGGGCGCCGCGAGAAATAATTAGTTTTGCAACTATGACGCACGCTTGCGTTTGCGCTCGCATATACGAGCACGCCACGCATGCACGCATGCACGCACTCATGCACGCATCCGCGGGACGCATGGCAGGAGAGTGGTTATCACGGGGCTGTGATTGGTATTGCCCTATGACCTCCGCCGAGGCACGGCTCCGCCTCTCACTTACGCACCGACACGCACGCATTAAAAGCGGGCCTCCTTTGCGTATACGTAAGCGAGCCGAGCGAGCCGCTTGCGTTGTTCGTCGCGCTCGTTCCGGCATCATGATGGCGTCCGCGCTTTCCGCGACGAGTAAAGATACTAATTGAGAATCCGAAGTAGGGGAGAGAACGAATCGACTTTTTCGCCACTCTGTGTAGCAACCAACTGCATGTCGCGGTAGCGTCTGAAATGTTACAGAGGAGAACTTTGTAGCGTTAAAAAGAAAATCTGATCGATTTACCTAAAGAAAACCGGATTGTAGAACCAGTCTTTCCTGCAAGATGCATATAAATATTTGGGTCCGCTAATTGAAGTTTTGAAATAATTATAAATTTGATTCTGCGTTCTTTCTCGTTTAACCGAAACACGTGTAGGTCTACATCGACTCGCCATTATCGTTATAGTTAATGACATTCTTGGATAATTGAAGACAGCCGACATGTTTCGTAATCGCCGTCGTCGTGGTGGTATTAGAACGGGAATTATTAGCGTTCCAGCAGCACTTATTGGTGTTGGTTCTCTTCCATCGACCTCGTTAATTAAGCTCAGGCTAAAAGTCTCGGTGGACTCTAAACGAGCTATGACAATCGCTCGATTTGGCATTCCGATTCTCTCATGATTCACCGTACGCTTATATAGCCGCCGTGGGCTTAATTGAGAGCTCGGCAGATGAAAATTATGCTCTTTGTGTATTAGTTCGTTACTCAGATCCCGGCCTATATGACGTGTGTTCAGTAATTCTTATTCAGTGGTATACATAAAAGCTTCAGCAAATGCATTATCGTATATTTAGACTCCAGAGTATCATTTAAACACTCGAAGATATAAAGATTGAAGGATTCCGCAGATTAGAAAACTGAAATTTTAATAATATAGGCATAAAAACGTAGACATTATGTTTTTAGTAATAACAATTTTGTAAATAAGAATAGTTTAATAAGAATAAATTAAATAAAAATAATTTTAAGAAATTAAAATTGAAAATTCTGAAGAAAATAGAGATTTAATGATTTAGAATTTAGAAATTGCAAATATCAAAGAATTCAAAAATCTTGAAAGTCTTAAGTGGATATCTATAAACAATTTAACAAGTTTAAGCAAATGCAAACAGTCCAACATATCTAAGAATTTGCAATAATGCTAGAATACTGATGCGTGATGTGAAACATTTATCATATTAATATAAAGAAAGTGTTTTGCGGGAAATTTCGTGAAAAATGACTTTGGCGAGCGCGAAGAGATTTGGATACGACTCACTCGTAGTTAAAGGGTTAATCGAGGTCGACGCGATCGATTCCTACTCGTGCAATTTATTTCTCAGGAGTTACGCAACGGCATCCTCCGGCATCCTCGCCGCCGCGATGCGCTTTTCGCTCGATCGACGAACGATCGATGGAGAATCGAAAACACATGCTACGCCCTCCATCATACGTCCTTAGAGGAAATTATCGTTCCTCTGTGCAACATTGCGGATATTAACTTACCGCATCGGCTATAATTTACGATCGTTCCGTTACCGTGATGATTATTTCGCGATCTCTCGCGAGAAGCTTTAAATTTGCGTTGTTACGATCAGCTCACGCGGTATCGCATCGTTCGATTTGCACTATTTTAAATTCTATCGCTATTTCCGCCGTTGCCTGCGGTTTTCATTTAATCACGATAGATTATGAAATCAGTCATGATACATTCTGTCTACAGGGCAATAACATCCGGCTTTTGAATAGGTTTGGATTGAATGAACAATCGAACAGTAAATATCTATATTTGCGAATTAATTCGAGATATGTTTAACTGAATGTGTATGGATACACATAAATGCAAAATATGTCTGAAATATATATGTATAATTTTTTACCGTAATTCTCCTATATTACAATTAGAACTAAAATAATTTAATTCTAAATTAATTTTTTTTACATATAATAATTAAAATTGCAATATAAATAAAAAATACATTCGTTGTATTTCTTCTTTCAGTTTCAACTGTATTAAAAAATACTGACTTGTTATTATTATATAACATGTTAATGAGCTTTCAGAATTGATTAATGTTTTATATTACAATTATAATTTTACAACTATAAACTTTTAAAAATTTTGAATAACACGTATTACAGTTTCGCGCAAAAAATAATATGAGGAAATAGCGACAATAATTTCACCGACTTTGATTTTTTATGCTACTGATACGGAAATACGCGACCTAATTTCACCAAAATTAATGCCCGCTTTGGCACTCTCATCGAAAATATCAAAGACCAGTCTATTAAATGTGCGATTTTTAATAAATCAACGGATGATCGAATAAAGCGGACGATTCGATGAACATATGTGTGAGCCCGAGAAGAATCGGCGCGTGGGTGGCAAAACGGCAATTGAAACATAACAAACGCACATTACTCCATCAAGAAACGGAAGGCAGCGGCCGCGGTTCCCCGGTAGACTTCCTCTCGATTTCTTTGATCCCCATGCGCGAGTGCGTACCGCCGTCGGATATCGTCGTTAAGCCTTTACCATATCAATCGGGAACAGGATTAATTCTTCCTCCAATGCGAGTTATTTTTTAATAGAAATTTTTTCGATACATTTCTTATGTCTGTTAATTAGATTTGTAAAATATAAATAATCTCTAATTTATAAATTTATATATTTTTAAATCAAAAATGCCGTGACTATATCATGACTCTATAGTCATATAATATCTATAGATTATTGCTACAAATAAACATATGGTTGCTATTCTTGCTCTCAATTTGCGAAAAGTATTTATTTCTCATTTCTTTTCTCTTTTATAAATATATTCTAATATATATAAATATATATTCTAGTATAGTATACATATAAAGAGTATCCTTTTGACATAAGTATATATATACTACATCAGAAGAGAAAAGCTTAAAATTTTTTGTTATATGCTATTTTAGAAATCTTTAACATTTTTTATTATATAGTAATTTTAAGCTTGCTTTCTTGGTTTTATCAAACATAGGTCGTCAAACGGGACAACTCGATCTTTTCATAATTCTTGATGGGAATGACATCAACGGATTTTCCCACCGCGACAGTATG